TGATGCCGACAAACCTAACTTGTATCCTAAAGTCTAACAGCCTACAACTTTATAGGATGGGGTGTATCTATTATGAATGAGAGTGTAAGGACAGGTCAGAAATTAACAAAAGAAATGTGTTGGTCTGATTTAATCAATGCGTATTTAAGAATAAAAATACGTGTAAACCAACAACAGCTGTTAAATTCATGGCTGCCATGTTGGCTACCTACGCCCTAACGGATAGCAATGTTACTCCATTTTCGAGCTAACATCTAACATTGGCTCTGGCCTGTTAGATCTAGCAATGTTGACTAGCCGATTCTTACAAATCTACGTCATCATTTTTCTCGATGTAACATGACTTAACAGAGTTAACAGGGTGTAATGTTTTACTTTTTCTATTAGAAATTTTCTGTTTAGTGTTGAATATAATAAACTGCATGTAAGCAGTTCAAAAATATTTTTTTAATTGATAAATGTGTTTAATAATCTTGCAATTCCAAAAAAACGCTTTACGAAAGGACGCGCTAAGAAACGGTCTGAGAGAACTAAAATTTCCTATTTTATTTTGATTTATCTACAAACACTTTACATGTATAATAAGTTAAAAATTTAACACAATATGTCTTAAACAATTCGTTTACAAACCGAATTTAACAACAATTTATTAAAAAAAAGAACGTTGTAAAATTTTTTTTAGCTTCATAACGTAACTGACGGTTGGCTTCCCTTCCTTAATGAACGTTAACGCGCTAATGAAGAGTGTGTTAGTAAAAATAAAGATTTAACGATTAGCAATATTTATGATTAATAGTAATAATGATAGATTATAACTTCAATCCCAATTATTAGGAGTTGATTTTAGTGGATTTAACTACCAATATCCTGCCCTCTGACGCTAAAAATGCAGGAAAAAACATGATTTAAAAAACTTTAGACCCAAAGCCCGCATAAGTGTCAGGTTGGCAGAAACAGGATGCTTGATGTATCCCTCCTAGTATAGGAGCCTTCATATAGAGAGCGTATAGGAATGACATCCGAAGTGAAAATTAAGCATGAGCATGGGAGGGAGCATCTTGTTCCCCTGTTGCGATTCTCGGAGGAAGCATTTTTTGTATATAGTACTGATTGTCGAAGTCCCAAACGTGTGTTGCGAGTGACTGCATTTATTGGGGGTGAATGTGTAGCGTGAGAGGACCGATGGAACTGTAGATTATACCCATCCTCAATATAAGGCAATATAAATCAAATATATCTTATTATTTACCACTTCGTAAATAATAAGTGTTTGTTAATGAAATGTTTAAGGATTTTCTACCCAAGGATATTTAAAATTTCAATCTTGAGTAAACGTTTTCTCTCAAATTTGTTTTTTCTTCAATACAAGTGGAAACAGTCTTAATTTCATTTTACGCCTCCTTTTCTAGCTTAATAGTTAATATGCCCGGCTTTGTAATACCGGGGTGAATGAAAGTTTTATGTCGTGTATATGTCTAGAGTCATAAAAAAACAATTTCTTCCCTGTTTGAAAGCTCATTCTGTTTCCTTTCTTTAGCAAGAGCAAGAGTAGCAATTAAATCGGATAAATTGTCACTCGAAGGGTTTAAATTTGGTTTAAGGTTTAAGTAAACTATGCGAGTATTTCACCTTGACTCACCCATCCGACCTCCTCCTTGCAATAAATAACCTATTTTACGCTTCCTTGAGCTTAAATGACTTGTAAATTTTAAACAAATGCTACTTTCTTCATTCGCTTCTTTGCTTTGTGGCCGTTGCTAGACAGCTGAGTTAAACCCAGATATTCTTGTTTGCATAAAATTTTATTTTCAATTTTTCCCATTACAATTCTCGTGTTAAAATATATTTGAATAATGTTGTTTATTCATGCTTTGGAAGACTTATTTCTTGCAGGTCTTCAAGTTCGTTGTCCATATTTAATTTTTTTTTAATTTATAAAACATGCTAATTTCATTGCATTTATAAGAAAAACGAATTGTTCTGGTTTTGCGAGTAAGGTTTAAACGAAGTTGAAAGAACTTTAGGGTAAACTGCATTGGTTATCGCCAGCCCCTCTCTTTCTTAGCTTTTCTTTTGTACTGTTTCTCGCGTTTCAAACTTATTTTTTTTCCTCCAGCCAAGATAAGATGTACGATATAACGATAACCAACTGTCTTGTTTCTTTATCCTCTTGCTAACATTACTACACTTTTCAATTGTGTTTAGAATAACACAAATAACAAATACTTAAAAACACAGATACAAACATAATAGCCTGGTTAGCATGCCGTTAGCAGTAGTCAGCACTCGATATTCCTCGTTTAGTTGAAGATATACCCCTCCATTCAAGCTAATAATTTATATTCACACCCTAGACTTCGATCACACAACTCTAGAGAAATGTGCAGTAAGATCGTGAACGTCGCCTTCTTGTCTTAGCATGTTAAACGTTCATTTTTCCGCAATGCTGCGCGTAGCGACTGGTAGGACCAAAAATAAATGTTAGGTTTGATTTTGTTTTATGTTAAATTGTACGATGTCGGAAGTTAATACAAAAGGAAAAATAAACAACTCTTTACTCGATATTCCTCGGCGTGATTGGGGATAAGTAGAAGATAACGCTAATAAATTACATTCCACATTCGTTCACACTAACCCAGAGTACTCGGCAGTCTTCGGGGACTCCGACAACAACTGGTGGTACAATGTGGTTAAGGCTCGAGGCCCATGAAAGGTATACCTCTTGTCTTCATCCACATCCCTCTCGCACTCCAGGTCCCTTCATTTGTTCCCTGTGACCCCTCTCAACCCTTGTCTACAAGGGGGTGTCCGAGCGCAAAATAATGGTGCAGCCCTGATGGCGTGGCAACCTCTCTAAAGCACAAGCTGTACTCGTGTTGGCCCCGGGTCGGCATGAGGCGGCGGGTGCCTTATCAGAGGCACACGAGGGTAGGGTACCAGATCCTGTCTGCATAGACGGGACAGGGTGCATAACCATCTGTACTACGGGGTAACAGAAATATTCCAAGGTTCAGCCCCTGTTACACTGGGATTGAACTCGTAGTTGGCCGGGGTGGGACCCCTGGCGGGTACTTAGAGAAGAGGCAGTCTTCTATCTGTGACCTTCGCACGAAACTTGCGTATGACCATCGTTATACACCGCTTATGACGCGATATTACGCTGAAAAGTCCCTGGAATGCGTGAGTAGTGGCGGATGGGAATGGGTAGTGAATCGGTTGCTCCTATTCGTGTAGTAACCGTAGGTGTATGCTGAGCTCGATTGGAGGCTTTTACCGTAGGCGGTCTAGCGATGGTTAGCAATTCCACTTTAAACAAAACCACGTCCCGGCCGGAGCGGATCCGATAGTTTCTACGCTTGGGAAGCCTCAATACTCTAGGAGATAGAGTGGCCTTCTCAGGCAGGAGACCAGGCTGATGTATTTCGACTTAGGTAGCCCTTTGCGCGCGGCATACGGTTCGATGCTTAATGCGGACCCGACCACTCGGAATGGGGAAGCGGGGAGCGAGGTTGTCTTGGCCCCTCGGGCTGAGCTGCCTCTACACCGATGCTGCGGCAGTAACACTTCTGTCGTATGCGGAGGTGCGTCAGCTCTCATCTCAAGAATCGAAACGTCCGATAAGGCCTAATAGGCTAGGTGCGGAAGTTTTAGGACGACCGAGAATACGGGAAAGCAGTCCTCGGGATAATTGAGGATAACCCTTGCCATTGATGCTAATAAATTACGATCACACATTCGCTCACACAAATCACAATTATTAAGAAAATAAAGTGAAATTCTAAAAGTTGACAAAACTGTTAACAATATAGTTTAAGTTATTAAACTGTTAACTAAATAATTAAATTGAATATAATTTTGACCAACGTTTAGTTCATTAAGTTACAGACTTATTTCTTATTCCCATTGTTGTACAATGGTTTATAGTAAACTAAAGTAAATTGACGTACATATGTGCTGCTGCATATAATGTCTGCTCAATATAATGTAATAAACACATAAATGATATGGAACATAAGGTAATAAGTCAAAAATGACCCTCAAGTGTCAATTGATTAATCTATGTAACCAGTTTTAACTACAAATATTAATTAGGAATGTACATGACAAATAGGTTTACATAATTATTATGGCGATTAATCTAATCAGCGTACATTAACATGTTAAATTAAATTTTTATTAATTTAAAAGTATTGTCTTTTGTCAATCTAATAATTCTGAACTAAATTATAATCTAGTACAAACATTTTGAATTAATGCGATAAACCAGGACATAGATTAAATGGAGTAGAATTCTATAAAAAAAGTGTTTTCTAACTCGTTCCATTGAGAAGATTTTTTAAAAAGATTTTTGCAAAAACTTGCCAAACAAATAACAGATTTTTTCCATTAACCGTGCAGTTTTCAATAAAATTGAGGGGGTAATGTAAAATCTACATTAAATGTTTGTAAAAATTATTTGACCCTTTTAGTCTGATTACCGTTTCGCATAAGCCTGCAAAACAGCAACATTGGATGATTTATGAAGAATGTCAAGAATTCACTACGTTGCCACAAAACTTATTGGCAAATTTCACTAAAGCTGCTCGATTTATACTACTCATCAATGGTATGCTTGGTATCGCTTCTCAGTGGTATGTTGGAGGTTGAAGATTCTATTTTTCAATGAAACTTATAAAGAAGTGCTAGTAGTGGAAATTTGATTTGTATTGTTTGTAGTATACGTTATTTTGAATACAGCAAATTTGTCCAAAAGTAAAGGTCTAAAGGATTGAAAGTATTTGGGCGGTCATGGCGCAATACCTCCTCTACAAATCCAAATCATTGAAAAGAACTTATTTCCTTTCATTCCCGAAGACAGTGCTAAATGAATGGCCATCACGGCCGACGGTCGAATTTTTCTCCTTAACTCACGTGGGTTATCTAATAGTCTCGTGAAAAGACCTTTTATAAATCTTTCTCCACTTAGAGCCTCTTTGGAAAAGTGTGATCATTACGCCCCCGGGTAACGTTCCCTGATGAATTTGCCACCATCATGGAACCGATAGGTTTGTCGACCATTAGCCACTATATGAAAGGAAGAATGGAGGTTAAAGGGTTTCCCTCAAGAAAAATCTAAAGCGGCTTCTTCCTCAACCCCATCGGAAACAATGTAATTTTCTTTTTGACTTTGTTCATGGTTAATAGATATATAGAAAAAAAGCTTTGACTTTTTTTTATAAAGCAACAATCCGCGCGGGTCGTACCAAGTTCCAAAGATCTGTAGGGGGGAGGGGTTTAAAGATAAGTTCAATGTTGGGGGGTTCAAAGTTCAATAGGGGTATTCACGATCTTTGTGTCAATCCTGTTAACTAAGTTAGGTCGTGTTAGATCGAGAAAAATGATGACATAGACTTGTTAGGATCGGCTAGTTAACATTGCTCGATCTAACAGGCCAGGGCCAATGTTGGATGTTAGGTCGAAAATATAGTCACATTGCTGTCCGTTAGGGCGTAGGTAACCAACATGGCAGCCATGAATAGCTGCTTTTTGTTTACATGTATTTTTATTCTTAAATAAGCATTATTATTCTTAAATCAAACCTATACATTTATTTTGTTAATTTCTGACCTGTTCTTATACTCTCATTCATAATAGATACATTCCATAATCCTATCCTATGAAGTTGTAGGCTGTTAGACGTTAGGATGCAAGTTAGGTATGCCGGCATTGAAGCGTGTCATTTGTTAGTACTTTTCGAGTGCATACATATCATTTTGAATGAAAGAGTTGCTTAATTTTCCTTTTTTATTAACTGCTGGCATCTTCCAATTTAAGAAAAGAAAGCCAAGACAAACAACAACAAGCCTTCGACGACTGCTATAGCTTTATTTTTGGTTCTACCAGGTCGGCGGCCCTGCATTCGAACCTGACATATCTATAAATGGGTTTTTTTCAAAAACTTCGGCACCACAAGTGTTGATATAACCTCTGCTGTTGTGAACCCTCGTAAAAAACATGTTTTTTAAAACATCTAATACTTTTATAGCACAATATTTCATATATTAGTTTTAATAGTATATAATTATTATATATATTAATGGCTATGNTATATATACGCCAGACAATATATTATGCATATTCGTATTGGGGGGAAGGGTATCGTGAAAAAGGGCCAGAGGCTGTTAGACGTTAAGATACAAGTTAGGTATGTAGGCACGAATTGAAGCTAGTCATTTGTTAGTACTTTCGAGTGCATAGATAGCATTTTGAATGAAAGAGTTGATTAATTTTCCTTTTTTACTAACTTCTGGCATCTTACAATTTAACATGAAACAAAACCAAGGACAAGTTATAGTTTTATTTTTGGTTCTACCCGTCGCCACGCGCAACATTGCGGAAAAATCAACCTCTAATAACTCCAGTGATAGCACTTGCAAAACATGGAATAATTATAATTTATTTCAATTTTCATATTATTCATTCTCATACTGTTATGACAGGTCGTACCACTTTCTTTTCAGACGTCGAACATGATTATTGTGTGAACGGGAAGAAACCGTACGTAACATTAGACTAGTGATTGTAGGCTAGTGTGGAATTTGTTGTATCTGGATTTTGCAACATCTTTTATGAAGGAATTAGGTCGTTACAGATGGTGCAATTGGAAATATAGAATGGCCACTTGACAATGTAGTTAAGAATTAATGATTGTCGGATCAAGATTCAGCAGGGAATGGAAGATTAGGTTGAATATAATAGTCAGTTCTCTGCCGTACGTTGGCAATTTTGGATTGGACGGACAACTTAAAGGTTTTAGCTAGTAACCTTTTAAGTACTGGTTTATTGGTTTAGTTTAATTTTCAAAAACCTTTACATCATGTGTGAGGATTCGAGTCAGTTGCTAGTCTAGTTGCAACACAAGGTAGCAGTTGCTTTGATGGTAGGGAAAGGTGTGACGTTATAATAGATCGGTAGAGTAAGGCGATGAAGGGTGTTCATTATCTTTTGCCATTGTGTGGTCTTGAGCTTGATTCGACTTTTTCTAGCAACTGTTCAAGGGAATATAGGAGCGTCTGGCAGAGTTGGAGGATAGAGTGACAGTGCAATCAACCGAAAACACAACCCTGACGGACCTTGTAAAAAAGAGGAAGTGTGTAGATGGTAGGATGCCATTCAGTTTCCAGAACGAACCTAGGACCTACGCCTGTTCATCTTCGAGAAAGTCCCCCTCGAGTAGCATACCATCTATTCACAGGAGCATGAATAGTGTAATAATGACACTTAAATTGGTTTACATTAGATGATTCGAAGAAGTATTTGTTTACAAATTATTTTTCCATAGTGGAGGTAGGAAAAAGAAAGCTGGTTTGAAAAATGTGATGAACCATGCAAAGGTTTCATGTCGCCCGTAATAAGTGGTGAGGTTTTGTATTTCCCAAGCACTGCAATCTTCTGGTTTATTGTACTTTTCATTGGTCTTTAGTTTAGTTTAATTGTCCCAATCTTTACTTTAAGAAGTATTAAATAATGGCTGTAATCCTTTTCCATGAATGTGCTTGATATTCTAGGCATTGGGCGGTTGCTTCGCATTTGGTGATATGGGTGGCAGCTTCTTCCTCCTCATTGAATAACCTGCAAATGGGGTTATATGAAGTTGTGTAGGTGTTTTCTTAGATGCCAGTGACCGGAATATTTCATATCATTCCCCTGACAATTACCTCTCTAGCTCTAGCAATATTTTTGCCAGTTTTGGTGAGGGCTTATCATAAGTTCACTGTGTCTGACACCTTTAGAATAAAACTAGTTTTCCTTTTTTTTTGTAGACACCTTTTGAGATGGGGGATTCTGTATTTGTTCTTGTTATCTTAAGTACAGGTTCTGGACTGATATATGGTCCTCTAGCCAGTACATCTGCTTGTCCATTGCCTAGAACTCCTTTGTGCTTGGGTATGTTCATAGTGGTCAGAACTATAAGCCTTTCGTTTCTGAATTTTTATCAGTTTATAAACACTTTTACCACCTTTATTAGTTTTATAATAATTTTTAAGTTAAAATGATGGTTAAGAAAACAATTTTGTGTTCACAACGGTGACCTCTTACAAGATAACACACTTTGCTTAATAGCCTTTAATTGATAAAATAATTAAGTTATACTAATAGCAAATACTTTGACGAAATAAATAAAAAACATCATTGAGGTTGTTTACCAAAACAAAAATATTTTTGGGTGATTATGTAGTTTTAGTGTTTGCATTATTGTCCTTGGTTCCAATCTCAGATTTGCCCTTGAATTTTTTTTTCTCACGGTACTTCCGCTGATGTGAAAAACAGAAACAAGTTAGCAATTTAGTCTTCTTATAAAAAATATTTAAAAAGAAAACGACCAACACTGACTTCTTACAAAACGAAAACTCACAAATTATTATTTTCTACTATTTTTCAAAGTTTGCGATCATAGATAATAATTCTGGATATTAATTTTTTCCAATTCTTTTAATGCACACACTATAAATTGTTAGAGTCATAAAATGGAACAACGATTTATTTTTATTTGATCATTCAAGTTAAAAAAAGTTTATTTTATAAAACTCGTTCCTTCCCTATCATGATTTGGATAACAAATCAGGATTTTGGGTTGCACGTCTTTTATATTTAAGTAGTCAATAATGATGTATTATATAAAAATTAATTATTTACTATCCTTGTAATAATAATATGAAGAGTATAGTAATGGAATAAACTTTGAAAACAATTATCGTTAATCATGTTTTATTTGTAGGTAAGAGCGTTAGGACTGTATATAGTAAATGTACTACCCCTATTAAATGTCAGGCGTACGTTAGATTTTATTAGAATGGGTAAAAAGCATTAGCTTTTAGCAGTAACAGTACGAAGGACAATCAACATGAGTGTGTTCGTTCACGTATTTATGAAATGTTTTAACCCCTTGTGAAAATGAAAAACATCAACCCCTAAGACGCAGTGGTCTCGCAAGTGCAGCCCTCCCTCCTGATATATTTCGCCGAAGGGAGTACTTTAGCGGGTTCTTACATCACTTTGATTTAAGCCCCCGGCACAGTTATTTTGGATTTTTTTTCTCGTTCTCCTTCCAAAAACCTTCTTTTCTTTGATATATGCATGCGGTCGTCGGAATTCTATGCTTTCTAATCAAGATAAGAAATGTTGGTTTCTGTCTTTTCTAAAATTCATAATTAATATTCTATTTTTTTGTTTAAATTGTGCTGTTCCGAATCCTTTGCCTCCGATCCTCAATTAAGAACTGTATTAGCACTTTCCGTGTAAATTTTCACGATTAATAACAGTTTTTTAAGGGGTGATTTAACCCCGCCCCGAGGAATATCGAGTACTCTGGGGTGAGTGAAAGTGACCAGACCTTTATGTTTCTATCGAGTGATGTGTTTGTGTTAATTTATTGTGATGAATGTAATTTATTAGCGTGAAAGGAAGGGGTTGCTTATAACCCCGCCCCGAGGGATATCAAGTGCACTGGGGTGAGTGTATGACGGCTGGAGAGTAAAAGTAAGTTATTAGCGAGAGTGGAGAGGGTTCAACCCCGCCCCGAGGAATATCGAGTACTCTGGGGGAGTGAAAGTGACCAGACCTCTCTGTTTCTATCGAGTGTTGTGTTTGTGTTAATTTATTAGCGTGAAAGGAAGGGGTTGCTTATAACCCCGCCCCGAGGAATATCGAGTGCTCTGGGGGAATGAATGTGACCAGACATCTATGTTTGTGGTAATGTATATATATGTATTGTATGTTTTGTTTTTATTCTGTATTTGACAACTTGAGGTACAAACGATAGACTAGCATTCTAGAATATCAACGTAGTATATATCGGAAATCAGAGAGTCAGTAACCAAATCGAGACGCTCAAATGGCTGCAGTTTAAAAGAAAATATGCACGAAAGAAAAGAAAAAGATGGAAAACACGCAGAGGGTCGGCGATGACCTCAGCTGTTTGTCGGCCCATAAACTTCCCACTTAAATATAATAACAGTTTCACGTGAGTAAA